TTAGCTCTCCTCCTGTCTTTCTCCTTAGAGATTACTTGATTCCTGTTTCATTTTTAGCTACATAAACTCCTTACTGGATCTTCTTCCTGACTGCCATAACAATTACAAGCTATTTATCCACGAAAGTGGTTTTAATTGCCTCTTAAGTAAAGGGATAGCCATGTATTTTTCATGTCTAATTTGTTATGCAGGCTGTCCTGTTTAAGCATGCGTTTGACTTGAAGATTTCAGCGTCCCATTCCCAGAGTCTGGCTTCAAAACAGACGTGAAAAACTACTGAAAACTGGAGAATAAACATATAGTCTTTGGTAAACAAACGTATTTTTGTTACAGGACTGCTAATTTGTTATAAATAAAAGAATTATTTGTTATTGGGGATGAAATGCCCTGGGAAAAGACACATTTTTCCATATAGCCATTTAAACGATGCAACCCAGCCCCATTCATGAAGGCAATATTCTGGAGAAATCCCACTGCAGTTACTGCAGCTACAAAATAATTTCTGCTGCTCCACTGTTTACTTAAGCATAAAAGATGTAAAGAGAATATTTATTTATTTTTTTAATCTCAGGACTTTGATATAAAACAGGAGCTTTGTTTTGAAAGACCCCTCATGATATATATTTATAAGAATACCTCCAAAAACTGATAAGGCAACATTATATAAACACATCGCTGCATCATCATGTAAATGAGGGAATTCCTGATTCCTTGAATCCTACTAACTTCAGGAAGATCAGGATTTTTTCATAAGAAAAAATGTGGGGAATGATTCCCCACATCCCTGCAACTTGTTCTGATCATGTATAATACTGTCACGTGTATACAGAATGGATGTAAAAATAATATTGCGTGCTCTTCCCTAGTGTCTACCCAGGCAATGGTGATGAAAATTTGGAATAAGGAAAAATTGTTAAGAAAAGTCACACTTTTCTGACAAAACTACTCTGATCAACACCTATCTACTAATATATAAATTTGGATGTTCAGTGTGTGTATATATAATATATATATATATCCCTTATATATCCCTAATAATCTTTCGAGAGGCATCTAAAATACATAATTTTATACCCTAAACTTTATTAAATCCCTTTTCTTCTGAAAGCCATATTATATGTCTTTGTTTCATTCCTTTCACACTACTTTAAATAATTCCACATGCATACAGCAACAAACAAACTTTATTTCTAGAAAAAAATGGAAAGTTATATTGCATTCTAATTATATATATACATAGAGATTTTGTGTTTTCTGATATTTTCTTCTTCTCTGCTGATAATTTCAATGTCTCCTGTTTTTTACTCTCTGAGCATAGCAGAAAAAGGGGGTAATGACTTGGCTTATGTGCATCTCCAGCACACAGTCAGAAGCTCTTTGCCTTTGCTATCATTAACTGTGCCTGCAGTAGTAAAGAGCTGGATACAAAATGTTTCATAAGAAATGTAAAATGACACTAGGAAAATCATGAAACACGAACAGAGAAGTTATTTGAAATGGCAAAACTATGGAATGGCTGAGGGACAGAGGACAAACTCATGAGCTGGGATCAGAGGCAAGGTCAACAAGTGGATATGAGGGTGGGCATCTGCTATAGAGAGCTCAGTAAAGACAAGTAAAAGGGAAAATACTTCTTTAAAGTACTGGAGGAAGCCATATGATTGCATGTGCTAGTTCTCACTGAAGACCGTTGAAGTTAGCCCTGCTTTGAACAAGGTCTAATCCAGGTGACTTCCTGAGATCCATTCAAACATAAATTACTCTATGATTTCTTTTCAATGAAGTAGGGGAAAAAATCATCTTTTTATATCCTTTTCTGTGCTAAGTAGAGTTTTGAAGATAACTCACTGGCAACCAAACATCATTAAACTGCAGTCATCTCTAGAGACCAGACCTCTAGCCTCACAGTAATTACCATGAAGAACAAACCAGAACACTGTAAATGAGACCAGATTATTCAGAGCATGGCACATCTTCACCTTTAGAAGGCATGCCTAGCTTTCCTGGGACTGCAGCCATCAATACTATTATCTGGAACTTGTCTTACGTGCCCTGTATGCATGACAGCTTTGTTACACCTACAGTGGGATGGAATCTTCTTATCTGAGCTTTTAGAATTTCACTGACAGAAATTAAACTTCTTTGCCTCTTGTGTCATGTGAAACAAATTTTCTAATACTCAGTAAAACAGGATCAATCTACATTAGCATGTTAGTGCATTTTTAAAGGCACAGCTTGTGCATCCTGAGCTACAATGAATAGTTTTGTTTGTATCACAGCAGACTCTGAGTACCTGAACTAAATTTGGGGTTGGATGAAGCTGACACAAAAGGTTTTCTTCAGGATTTCCTCTCCTGTTTTGTAAATTACAATGAAAATTGATCCACAGGATTAGACACAGCTAATTTTAAGTAATTCCCACTGCAAAAATGTGTGGCACAGATGCCTGGTGTTCAGCTCTCTGTTGCACCCATTTGGACAGGATTGCTCACTAGCTAATGTGCATATAAGCTTTAGTAAAAACAAATGTCTACTTAGTGTAAACAACTTCATGCACTTTTAAGCACCACAATTATATATCTATTTGAATCTGAAAACTCTAAAGATGATGTGATGGGGAAAAATATCCAAAGCAGTTAATAGTATTGTCACAAAATGTTGGAACCTTTGACTGTAGGCATATGAATATAATTTGCATGTTGATGTTCTTGTATTTCTGTCACATATTAATATTTAGCTTTTCTTGCAAATATTTCCCCTACTAGAAAGCACTGGACAGAACTATAACTATGACACTAAATTTATGTCACTTTTCATGTAGCACAGCTTCATCTTCTTTACAGGAGTCTAATATCTTCGATATTGGTCTTATTTGACTAGGCTGCTTATTATGCTACATGTACAGATCTATTAAAAATTAAAATTATTGTTATTTTTGTTTTTCTCTATAAGAATTTGCATACAAGGCTCATATCACAATATCTGAAAAATTTTAATGGTATAATATCATTCACTTGTAAAATCAGAAAATTTGTTTGACCATAGATAATTTCCTACAACACAAAAGGTAAACTTTAAAGCCCATTATGCTGTTAGTTCACAACCCTATGAAAAATATGGCACAACACTGTGAAATGAGAATCTTCTTCCTAATCTGATGTCAAGACTCATTTTTCACAGGCATTCAGTATTTAGCAGTACACTCAGTGGTGTTGAATGTAGAAAGGTATGCATAACCACAAAATCTGTGAGCAGACATTCTTGAACTGTTAAATTCAGTTGCATTTCCTTCATCAACGCCAACTTGGCTCCAGCAAAAACAAGATCCTCGCTTCCTTTGTGGAGCACATATCCTGGTTCAGTTCTGCCATTCTTCTTTTCACTTCAGTTGCCTTCTGTATCCTCTGTCTCTTGCCTTTAAGAAGTCCAGTCCATTCTTCTTTTAATCAATGTGATGCATCATTCAAAGTACCCTTCTTGTTGTTGCGCCTATTACACATCAGAACACAGATTCTTAGAAAAGTGCTACTGAGATTTAATCCAAACATTACTGGAGTGTCTGCATAGATCAAAACCTGCTCAAAAGAGATGTGAACTTCTGTCTCCTAGGCAAAGCAGAATCAATCTTACTGCGATCAGTAACTCAGAGGTGGGGGAAAAGCAGAGCATGTCACAATCTCCATCTCTCACATCCTCTCAGGAGAGCCAACTAAAGCAAACCCAGCACTTCAAGTCTCAGTCTTACAGACTCCTTTTTCCACCACATTCTCTTCTTTTGGTTCACTATCTGACAGAAAAATAAAGTGATTCTTTATCACCTATCCAAAAGCACTGGCTTTGAAAATTACCTTAATTCTTCTTTTTCTTATTTTATTTTAGTTCCTGCTGCATAAATATTAATCAAGGAAACTCTTATTTCTATGTGATTTTAAATGTACCTGTTTACAGTCCTACCTATTATGAAAATATTTCTGGAAAAGTGAGTGGGCATAAATAAAAAAAACCCAAAGAATCTTTCATTACTTAAACAATTATAAAAATACATAGTTTAAATTATTACTCAAACACAAAATGCTTCTCTTCATCCTGTGTGACAGCACAGTTTAGGATGGAATTAAAGGCTTGCTAGTGCTCTATCTCTTTCCAACACTGATGTGTATCATATGGCCCCAAAGGCAGAGGACATTCCTAAGGAGAGCCAGCAGCTGCAAAAAAGTTTCATCCAAAGCAGAAGCAGCTGCATGTCTTCATAAACACTGGACACTGGTGCTGTCTTCCAAATCTGGCTTCACTATTCCCAGTTGAGGAACTTCCTACCCATGCTCTTGAGACCCGTGTTTCCATCCACTCCCAGCTCTCTTGCAAGTTCTCTTGTTCCAGCTTCATTATTACTCCTGCTTGCTGTAGTCTCCTTTACATACTTCCATCTTTCCACAGCTCTCTGGTACTTTCTGGGTTTTTTTCTAACTAAATAAACTGTTTCCGTTCTGTTTCTAGCTACCATTTACTTATCTGTGGCTATGCATTCAGAAAAAAAAAAAAAAGAAAAAAGGACTGCCTATCTTTCACCAATATATGACAGAGAAATGGAAGACTTCATTTGTAATTCTTGAACCTTAGCTAGAACCTACAGGTGCTTTGGGAGCATGCAAAATAGTAAGTTAAACACAATGGCTTCTAAAGATGAGTTGGAATGATGAGTAGGAATGGAGAATTTTATTTAAAAGACCGTGCCAGGTCAAAGGTGACGTGTACTAGAGAATGCAGATTGCAGTTTTTGTCTGTGGTGTGTGAGAACACTAAAATTAGGATCTGCAAAGCAGCATCTGCAGTTTGTGGTTGTCATGGTTTCAGCCCAGTCAACAGACAAGCCCCACAAAGATGCTCCCCCACTCCCCCACCAGCAGGATTGGGAATGGAACCAGAAGGGCAAAAGGTAGAGAACTCATGGGTTGAGATGAAGGCAATTTAATAGGGAAAGCAAGAGTTGTACACACAAGCAAAGCAAACCAAGGAATTAATTCACTTCCCATGAGCAGGTTTTCAGCCACCTCCAGGAAATCAGGGCCCCATCAGATGTGACAATGGCTTGGGATGACAAATACCATCACTCCAAATATTCCTTTCTTCCTTCTTCCCTCTACTTGATATATGGACCATGAGGTCATAGGGGCTGGAATATCCCTTGTTCAGCTGGTAACTGTTTTATGTGAGAAAAGACAAAAAAGACAACACTTAGGCCTTTAAAAATCTAATTTTTGGGCGGTTTTCAAGGTTCTGCACAGTGACAAAGCCTCCAGTGCCAAGGACCATTGCAATTTTGCTCAGGTTACATACCATTTCTTTCTTTAAACCCCACTTTTGGCAAATTGCACCTCTGATGGTTCTTCATCTTGCAAACAGTCTAATAATCCCCATGATTAGGAACATTAGAGCCTCAGGAAGCAATAAAAAATGATCAGTTCACTAAGGTGAGTCCATCCACAAGACAAGTTAATGGCTCCCATGCAGTCTACGAAATAACTGAAGGGCATATAGCAGCGGATATATGAGAGTGACTCTCCCTCTCTTTACACATAAAAGTTTCTAAATCCAGGAAGCCCAGAAAATTATGCTCAGTACCAATGTTTAGAAGACAGAATTTCTCAGGAAAACTGTGGGTTTTTGGGTCTCTTAAACCTAGGAGGAGGGGTAATGTTGTCTTTGAAGTTGTCATGCCTTGCGCATTGCAATTACTTGTTTGTTTACTTCCATGTTCACCATGCAGGTAAGGCCAGCCTGACGGACAAATTTAGAATTTCTGTACCATGAGCACAACAATGACTGTTAACACAGCATCTTTTCCATTTATATTGAAACCCTGCTGCAATTTGACGTCATTAATTTGACTTAATTAAGACTAAGTTTGGAGAATTTCAAGGTTTGTTCCCCTAATAAAGGAAGAGAGATATTTACTTGCCCGACAGCCAAAGACTACACTATTGTGGCAAGGCTAGTCACAGTTAGGTCTGTCAAAGGACGTGGGAAAGGAGGAAAATGTACAGCCAATCTAGGCATAAGTGATGGGACTGCTGCCCACCAAGAGCAGCCTTCTGACCCTGGCACTGTCAGACCTGTCTGCACCAAAAGCCAGATCTACAATCTCTTCATAAGGACCAGCAGAAAACTTTTAGTCCAAATGAGCAGAAATTATGTCAAATACCCAGAAGCTGAGGTGAGTAAGTAGCAGCTATTAAGGGTTTTTTCAACTACATTTTTTATTTTCTTTGGATAAGGGTTGTCAATATGGTAGAAAGTCTAACATTCTTGGATGTTTTTGTAGGGTTAAAAGACACCAGGGATGTTATTTATTAAAAGTCTTCTGATAAGGAGTCTGAAATTTTCTGAGTGTAACAGATGTTGATGTATTCCTCTTTCTCCCTCTCCCCTTTCCAGAGTGGTTTGTTCACGTACAATCTTGCAATTACAATTTGAAACTTCTTTGGATATGCATTTACACAGAATAAAACTTCTGACCCCCATGGAGGATACAGTACAATACACGACTCTGAGGTAAGCTCAGTTCTGGTGTTACAGCACACTGGCAAGGAGACCTGTATGGGCAGGCCTCACAAACACACAATATCCCTTTGTGCTGATTTGTTCTTCTGACCATGTCTTTGAAGATGTTTCTTACACGTGGGGTTAGAAGGATCCCTGGTTACCAGCTTCTTGCCTGACACAGTTCAAGCCGTTGGCCATCAGCTGTCTCAGAAATTTCGCCCCTGTATTAAAACCGAAATGTTTGCAAGAGTGCTCAGCTTAAACAGCTCAAACATCTACGTACCTGGAGATAAGGACAATTCTTCTGAAGGAGGAATGTTGAGAGATGTACTTTTTAATTTCATCAGAACCACTTTGGCACCTTCCACTGTTTTTGAGAGCCTTACATAGTACCACTCTCGTGCCTTTTTTTAAGTCAGCTGGGAGAGATATGGAGCTTGAGCCTTTTACAATACTGGTGCTGATTAGTGAAAAATGAAGACACTTAACAGGTTTTTGAAGCTAAAAATAAATAAGACAACACAACCAGGAGTTATGTGTCTACAGCAGAAAGGAACCTAAATCAAACGCTCCCCCACAGCAGCACTGCCAGAAGCAGACTCCAGAATTTTGTGATTTGTGAATGTCTGGGACTCTCTGTGTGATTTGCAAAACAGATTCCCAAATTATTTTGCAAAATGAAATGTATTTCTGGTGCCTGTTAGCCTGGCTGAACCATTCCCAGCACCCATGAGGGCAGGAACAGTCACAGATGGGCTTGAGAGGTGTTGAGCAATTCCTTTGGCTGGTTAGCAAAAATGCTCAGGTGCTTCAAGAGCATTTCAGAAATATAAGAAACATGGAGGGGAAAGCTAACTGCTTTCATGACACTTGTCTCCTTTTAACTTTCTTATGATTTTGCATATTTTTTTCCATATTCTTATATCTATGGGCCCATCTTCAAGCTTAGCAAACATAAAGTGTTACCTCAACAGCATTTTAAAAAAGGACAAAATATTCAAAAATCATCATCATCTGATTTTCTCAAATCTCACCACCCTTTTACATAGTATTTTGAGTTATCTTTTTTTTTCCCCTCAGTCATAATCAGAATCACTAATCTGAGTTGGAAGAGACACACAGGGAGCATCAAGTCCAACACAGGACATCCCCAAATGTCACACCATGTGCCTGAAAGTGTTGACTAAATGCTTCTCAAATTCTGCTAGGCTTATGCTGTGACTGGGTCCTGGGGGAGCCTGTTCTGTTGCTCAGCCACCCTCTGGGTGAAGAACCTTTTTCTAATATCCAACCTAAACCTCCCCTGACGCCTTCAGGTCCTGTCACTGGTCATGACAGAGAAGAGATCAGTGTCTGTCCCTCCTCTTCCCCTCAAGAGGAAGTTGCAGATTGTAAGGAAACCTCCCCTCAGTCTCCTCTTCTCCAGGCTGAACAGACCAAGTGACCTCAGCTGCTCCTCACACAACTTCCCCTCAAGACCCTTCACCATCTTTGTAGCCCTGCTTTCAGAGCTTTTTTTAAAGATAAAGATATAAAGCTCTCTAATAGCTTTATATGTTATATTGTGGCACCCAAATCTGCACACAGGACTAGAGGTGAGGCTGCCCCAGTGCAGAGCAGAGCAGGACAATCCCCTCCCTTGCCCAGCTGGCCATGCTGAGCCTGATGTACCCCAGATTATTACATCTGTAAAAAGACTAAATTAATGTCTGAGAAGAGCTGCCTTTAAACCACCTCCTCCTGTTTTTAACACATAGACCCTTGTAAACATACAAATGCATGGACAACAGCTAGGGTACTGCAGTGAGAGCAGCTTTAGTCCTGCACATCTGATTGCACTTATTCCTGTGTTATCAAAAAATCTAAATAATAGCACAAAATGAAATATACTTGTGAAACCAAAAATGGCAGGATATTGGGAGAAAGGGTTGGGGATGAATGAGGGAAAATCAAGAAAGAGACATTTGGGGCAAGGAAAACATCTGGTTAATTCTGCCAAGGAAAGCAAAATAAGTCAAAAACATTCATCAGGATAAGCAATGTATTAGAAGTACATAAGTAATACCTCGCCTAAATCTTTTCTTGGCTTCCAGTGCTGTTGGAAAGCATTAGTTCTTCTTCGTCATGTCTGCTAAGCACATTCTTGGGGGGGAAGGAGGGCAGTGAAGGGAAAAAAAAAAGGAGCAGAGAGTGAATTTAATCTTGGAATCCTGAAAAAGTCGCCTGTGCGCTTTTTCTAGCCTCTGGTACAGCAAACCAGGTTGCTATGGTAAAATGGGTCAGAGCAGTAAGCAAGTTAGCTTGTGCAACAAAATCAGACTCCTGGTGCAGTGATGGGAGGCAGAGGCCAAAACACACAGTAATCTAGAGCTGAATCTAGGTCACTGGGGTGCTTTGTAGCTGCAGCTGTCCGTGTGGGACTGTGATCTCCGGCAGGGCTCGCAAAGCCATCCTGACGGCTGGGCTCCTGCTCAACAGCTACGGCTGTACCGGGGAGCTGCTGCTTTGTCTCCTTCAGAAACAAATTATAATTTTAGATTTTAAATTATGGATGCTTATGCAGGCAGCATGTGTCTGTGTGTGTATTATGTATGCACATTTATTTTAAAATAAGACATACTCAGCAGGCACATGGCCCATATTTTGGGAACCCATTACACAAATTAACATTCGCACTCCAAATGATCATTATCACATATTTATGGGAACTGTGCATCCCACTCCATGGAAGCTATAAAGATCTGCAAGCAAACATAAGAAATCTCTTCTCCGGTATATCTAATGAATTCCCCCCTTCAGACAAACACCCTCCCAAAAAGCCTGGGAAAAGAAAAAAGGCTTTGGAGAATGTCAGGGAGGTCGTCCCACGGTTCAGTCTCTCACATCCCCCTACAGACATATGCTGATACACCCATCCGTGCAGCAATCTATTATTATCATTTACTATTCTGTGACTGTTAAAAAACAATCAAAAGGGAAAAACAAACCCAACAAACAAACAAACCCCAACAACCAACAATCAGTTAATAAAAAGCCAGAGAATAGGGCCACATCAGGAGCAGAAGTAAATCAGCTTGATGCTGATGGAACTACACAGGCTCAGAGTTTAGACTTACATACAGACATGGTCCTTGCCCACAGAAGGATGAAAAATTGCCCATAATGGAGATTCATTACAAGATGAGGTTGGCAGCTCTTTGGAGTATGAGAGGTATTATGTCACCATTTTTTTCTGCCTTTTTTTTTTTTCTTATGTTTAGAAATTCTGCCAAGCAGAATTTCCTATATTGGCCTCAGATTCTAGGCTATACAGAAGAGATTCTGGATACATCACCTGCCCACTGAAGCATCAGCTTTCAGTGCATACAGAAGAAGCCTAGAGCTCCACACCAGATCTACTCTGTGCGCAGTGATTGACTCCACAGCAAGCACATGGAGGCTCTGAACTTCCCCAGAAGTATATAGTTCTTGTCTACACCAAAGATCTGGCACACTGAATGCCAAATATGTCACTCTCACGTGTCACATTTTGTCTGTTTTGTATAAAAATCTGGCATAAGCACATATAACAACACTAGGTAGAGATGTTAATGGAATGATGAAATATGAACCTTTTCTATTTGGATTTGGGACAGTATTGGACAGATGATTTTTCCTTCTCACAACCACAAGAATTTAGACATTTCTGCTTGAGACAACTACACTGGACAAAATATCTATCAATACAATTTAGTTTTATTCAGGTCACATTTCTCATATTATGTCATGAGATTTTGCCCATTTCCAGTGAGTGTGAGGGAAGAGGAAGGACAAAGGACAACAATAACTTGGAGTCTCAGAATCAGTGTCCACCTACATAAATCATGTATGACAATGAAGTTCCTGCCCTTCTTATCCCACATTTTAGCATGGATGACTGAGATTAGATATGTGTTTAGAATAACTTAAAAATTAGGCCAGTAGTAATCCATGGCAAGGTCAGCCTCCAAAGACAGATGAGGCACTAGTGCTTATTCAATTAACTGAACAGCTAAAATCAATTACGTTTTTCTTAAAAAAAATAACAATGATAACAATGCATATTTTTATTGGGGGCAGCATTTCAGTTTTTATACAGGAGGAAGGTATACAGCTGCTGGTCAATGCTTTGAACTGGATCTGACAAGAAGCTGGTAGCCAGAGTGAGCTGCCTGGGTCCCCCCAGTGTGAGAAACATCCCCAAGGACATGGGGAGAGGAGCCAATCAGCACAGGCAGTGTGCACTTGCAAGCTGTCAGACATGCCATGAGCATGGCTTCTGTGCACACCTCTACAGATGTCTGAAAAACCAAGATGAAACATACCAAGATGAAACATGTACAGACCAAATGTCAAATGTCACTTTGTAAGCAAAGTGAAATCTCTTATTTCCTCCTACAGAGCTGCTAACACGATGCCAGAGCACTGAGCAACTGCCCATTCTACTGAGCAGCAGCACACATAAATAGCTTGCAAATACTGGAGGTAGAGGGACATATCATACACGAGCAATATTATATAGTCCTTCTGGGGAGAGTAGCAGAAAGCAAAAGGAAAAGAGAAAAATGTGTCAAGACAGGTTCAAGGATGGCCCTCTCTCTTGATAGTCATTGACAAATTCCCTTTTCAGCAGTAAGGAAGACTCTATACATTAAAAAGGCCTTGACTCATTCCATCACATATAGTTCTTGTCCTCTCTAATTTCCACAGCAACTTGCCTTTAATCCTTCAGCATTCTTATCCTTGATTATTCAATGGTACTTGAATAGTTCTGGTAACTCATCTGGTCCAGACAAGAGACAGAAATATTTGTCTATCAGTCATTGTCTCTGCAAAGCAAACAAATACCACCCCATTCAAAGGGGACAGTCAAATTCATCACTGCTGAAACATTCTGCATATAAGGTTTACACATAATGACCATCAGAACAGACTCTTTTAAAGATATCCCTAGTGATATAAAGATCTGCTATTGTGCTGATAAAATTCTTTTCATGCCACTGATACCTTAATTGTGAGCTACAAAATGGTAGGCACAGAGACCAGACAGGCTTGGAGACTTACTTGGACAGACATGAAGAAAGAGGGTTCTGATTTTGATACTAGAATTGTATAACCCATCACAAAACTTGCCATTTGACTTTGATTGTATATGCTCTGAAGGTATCTTTCCTACAACAAGTCTATGAAAACCTGCACATAAACCAGAGGAAAACAAAGCAACAACAACCAAAACAAAAAGGATCTAGGAAAAAAAAGTTCATTTCCTAACTCTGACATGAATATAATTTTATACTTGAAAATAGATTTAGTCTTCCTGTTTCCAGAAAAGGTAGTAAATCACAGACTCATGGGAGTACAGAGACATGTACTAAGTGGAGAGATGGCAGGGTGTGGGGAGGGAGGAACTGTTTTACAGGCAGAAAAGAAACATTCCATGGAAGTAGCACTGCCAGATAAATCCCCTGTTGCAGAGTCTGTCTGCACATTCCACTGCTAAAGGGCCGTGAGTTGTCGATAAAGGGTCATTTTCCTACACCTGGACAAACAAGCAATTCACAGCAAAGAGCTAATTAACTCTGCCACATATTGAAGGATCTGAAGTACCTGACACACTTTCTGTCATGGTCCCTTGTCTGGGCAGGGTGGAGTGGGTGTTGATTGACAGAGGACTGCAGAAAAGCCTATCTTATAAAAAATTACTATGGGAAGGCAGGAAGGCAGGAAGGCAGGCAGGCAGGAAGGAAGGAAGGAAGGAAGGAAGGAAGGAAGGAAGGAAGGAAGGAAGGAAGGAAGGAATCTAGCTGGCTAAATAACTACCTGTGGCAAGGGGTTTCTTTCAGGCTTTATTTAAAATACATATTTGTCTTGCATAAATGTCTATTGATAACACTTTTAGCAGTGCTCAGGTATTGATGGAAACACATCTTGTATGCTGAAAGATCATCATCATCACAACAATATCATATATGTGATCTTCTTAAATGGAAGAAAAAGAGAAACTCCCAACATATGTAAGGCACAAGGAAACTCAAGGGTTCATGTCCTGGTCATTTAGTAAATAAAGCATTCCTCCACCCTTGCTGCTCAGAATGAAATAACAAAGAGGTAAACTTTACTACTTTTTTAATTAGTCCCTCTGTGATGGGTGCAAGCACATGCATCAGTACTTCCCAGATTGAAGTTCATGACTGTTCATCTGTACAACATATACTGCCTCAACAATGGCCTTATGAATTTCATCAAACAAGTGTTGGCAGCTTCCCACTTAATCACTTAGTATAACTGTGGACTCTTGTTTACTGACATCAGGGAATGCCTCAACAGAGCAACTATTGCCTCATACCTCTTCAAATACTAATGTGGGTGTAAAAAGCCAAACATCTGATGCACACTTGTCTCCCTGGAATGTGGTAGGGAAAGACAAGTCCCTCAGTCACTAGAAAGGATTAAATCCCTTTTCTAAAAAAGGAATGATTTGGAGGAACACAGCTCAGGCAAAAGTCATTTCAAGAGGTTCTTCAGTAAATAGTCTAGAGGGTTCTCTATGAATACATTAAAAACTGATTCATTGGCTGGGTGAATAAGTAAATTATGGGAATGACAACTGAATAATTTTGATGTAGTAAATGAAAACAAGGTCTGATGGAGGCAGATAGCTGTTACTTGACTATGATTTCCAGTGTCCTCAAACATCTTGCTTTGGAACCCTTCACAGGCTATGAAGTAAAGCAGTAGTCTGTTCTTAAAGCATTTGAAATAAGAAATCACTAAAGCAAACTGGTCTTCATGCACAGAATTTTAGTTTGAATTATGCAAGATAAAATAATGAGCATTTTAAATAGAAATACCTGAGGTAAAACATAATGTCTGGCAAGGTAACTGGGGAGGAAGTATCTCATAACATCCATGTGGAAGTCTCCAGCTGTAACACAAACTTCCTTAGCCATTCAGTAAGTGACTAAATGTATAAACATTTATATCACAGTTAATTTAATTTCAACTGTAGTTTGGAAAGCTCTTGCTCTCTTAACTGATGCTGCTAAATGTCAAATTTACAATTTTGGAAAGCCATTGTCAACACCTTGCTATATGCAAATATTAATTAATTCTAAATTGCAGGGACTTCCATAAAACTTCAGTGGATGCCACTTCAGTGGATGCCAAAAGAAAAAAAAAATCTTCATCTTCTATGCTACTACAATAAATAAAAAGAGAAAAAGAAATGGTTTTTCACTTATAAAATCAAATGCTGCCAAGAGCTACATTCAGCTAGTAGGCATTTGTTTCAAGTGGATGCTGGCTCCTGTCATATGATGAGGGAATATGACATTTAGTAATCTTATTGGCACATGTCAGGTTAGCATGGCCAAGAAACA